AAATAAGATCCAGAAAAACGAACTTTTTAAAAAAGACAATGTCGAAGGGTTCTCAAAAACATGATAATTCCGAAAGATAGCAAAATGGTGGTCCGGACGCTTACACACAAAAAAGGGCCAACGGAGCCTACTCCCGCTTCCCTTAGTATACATATTATACACCCCCCTCATCACAGCAACCTGATCAGTCCGGGGTACTCGTTGGGGAGATAAACTCCCCACTGACCACCGGACACCCTCGCAAACTTTGCCACGGCCCAGAGAGAGAGAGAGAGAGAGAGAGAGAGAGAGAGAGGAGGAGGAGGAGGAGGTAGAGGAGGAGAAGGTGGTGGGAAAAGACAAGGCGGCAGGCACTCAGATCCGCAAGTTCGGCTGACCTCTCTCTCCGGCGCACCCTCTCTCCGGCGCACCGGCGCATAAGGCTGAGCACTCACTGGCAAGCTTAGAACATGCTCGCACTAGGACTTCCACTAAATGAATGAATCTGACCACAATTCCAGCCGTCCCTCTTCCTATCTGGTCGCAATTACGCCAGCAGAGCAGTTGAAAAAGTTGTAGTGTCAGTACGCCGTCTGTCCCCCCTCACTGGCGGTGGTCCACCGGTCTGATCCTGGTATGATTCTCCTGTCTGATCCTGGTGGTCCCCACATGTCTGGTGCTGGTGGTCCCACCTGTCTGATCCTGGTGTGGTGGTCCCCACGTGTCTGGTGCTGCTCTGTAGTCAACATGCCGCACGTGGGCTACCAGCTCACCTATTGCCTACTCCAGGTACAGTGCCACCATCAAACACTGCTGCTAGCGGTCCTTCCACTCTGGAAAAGTCATAGGGCCTCGCTCCACCAATCTCCAAATGTGAAAAATGAGAATGAATCTTCATCTAGAACATGGAAAGATACACTTCACAATCTGGCGCACCCGAATGGCGGAACGTGGAATCCGCGCAGAACCAAGCTGTGAATCGCCGGCAATCGGAGGAGTATCGGCGGAATACAGTCGGAAATAAGCGGAAATAGTTGCCGGAAAAAGGCCGGAAACGGTGGCAAACGGCAGGGTAGATAACAGCGGACAGTGAGCGGGCCGCCTATAATATCAGTGAAATGTCTAGAAAGAACGAAAAAACACTCTCAAAAAAAAAAAAAAAAAAAAGACGAAAATAACACACTCGCAGCTATTTGACAAACAAACAAAAAACGAAAAATACTCGCCTACACACCCACACACACACAAAAAAAAAGAGAGAGGAGAAAAGTTTTAAAAAAATATTTAATTGCACAAATTACTTCACAAAAAATGAGGCATTTAAATATAAGTTCTAAGTAGCTCCCCC